TGTGAATACAAATTAGTTAGCATAAATCAGTTAAATGATGAAAAATTAGGTGTCTGTTTACTTGTGACCACTCGGTGTATAGGAGTAAGTGTATATAAGGGAGCATTTCTAAAAATGGAAAGAGGTGAGCGAGGTGTCACTGTGTTTGATTTATTATGTGAGCAATATTTTAGCAAACAGAAAAGATAAAACCTTCTTATTTTATATTCTAGCTTGTCAATATCTGTAATTTAAGTTTCTAATTAATATGAAACTATAGACTTAGTATTTTGACTTCACAAACATCTAATTTGAACCAGTGCTGCATTCAACATACCACATGACACACAAAAATCGATGTTTATCTGTTTTTTTTTATATTTACTTTTAAATTAACAAATTGAGTAATATATAGTTGTAAACTTTGAATTATAATCTACAGTTTGATACCAAACTTATTGACATAAATTCATGAAATAGATGTTCAATAAAATTTTGAATGCTAGTCAACAAATGCGATGACATGGCCTTTCATTCGTGACCCATCTGGAAAGAGTAAAGGTATCTGATAATGGATTTCCCATGCAAGTCCATGTAACTGAACAAAGTACTGTTAAAACCTATGTACATGAGAATTATTATGCAAGTGATTGAAAAGTTTTACCTGTTTTAACTAAAATATTCTTCCTTATTGTAATAGCTGTAACTTGTATATAATAATAATAATAATAACATCATGTAGCTAACTTCTTTCAATAGACTTATAACTTGATTAGTTACAGAATGTAATTTTATTATCTTTAATTTCGTAGCAGGTAAACAGTATCAGTCATTCTGTTGGATATACAAGACTGTTTGGTATAAGTTATTATTTAGTTTACTTTGTGATCTAATATTTAATGATTATTTCATTTTCATAACAAGAGTGTTAAAAGTTAATTATTTTAAAAGTGATAGTTATGACAAGTTTTGTTACACTCTGTGTGGACTTTTGATAAAAAAGAGAATTATTTAAAACTTTAGATTCAGCTGTGGTAACCAGTTGTGTAATGATTTGTTTTGTACATACATTTGACTTGTTTTGAATATATTATTTTAAAACAAGTGGATTGTGTGTTGTCCATTTATTGTTGAGATTTATAGCCAACAAGTCACCGACATCAACTATAAAGAATCCAGCCCACACATACCTGACAGAGACAGTGTATGTGTGGAACATATGATGCTGCAACATATTTTAGTAATTGTAACTACATTTACTACATAATGAATTATTTTGCCTAACCAACACTGGTGGGTCTTAAAGGATGTTGAAACTAATATTAAAACCATCTAAAATTTCTGTTTTTTGTAATGAAGGGTGTCGGTTTATAAGATAACTTTTATTGGTTCATGCAACAATAAATCATATCATAATCTTTCTTTCTTCAGCACAACCTACATTATTCTTTTCATTTTTAAGTGAGCTGTTAATAATTATAATGACATTTTATTATGTTAAATCTGATCTAATTGTCTTATAGAACAAATACTGCATTTAGCAATATATCTAGTATTTCTAAATGCATGATAATATCCACTTGTTTTAGAAGATCCCCCGCCTCCTTACACCCCAGGGTTTTATGATCCAACCACTGGTAGGTTGTATAATGAAGAAGAAACTCTAGCCAACAATCGACTTGGAAACCAAAGTACAGTGCAGCGACAACGTGCAGTGCCGTCCGTAACCCAATTACCATCTGATACTTCATATATTGGTAGTCTTCCATCAGAATCAGACTGGCAAGCTTCACCCCCCTGTCCTCCAATTTGGAACTCTGAAATCCAATGGGACACAGAAGATTGTTATCCAGATGATTTAGCTGATGCCCTTGGGGCTGCCAAAATTTGACTTTTACAAAATATTCAGGTAACCTTGAGTGAAGCAGTAGACTGTCTCTGTGATACTCTTAAACATGTATTTATGAACAGGTTAAGTGAACCTGGCAATTTCTGATAAGACTACAGCACAATGAAGACAGAAAATTTAACCTTTGTATTTTGCATGGTAATGTTGTATTTGAAAATTATTTTTTGTTTTATTGCTTTTTGTGACCTCAACTTTTGCCTGTTTACAACTGCTACTATCAACATGTTGAAGAATGCAGCAATTTTTACAATTTTGGTCAGTTTCAATGGAAAAACCTGTGTATAATGCTGTCATTTATAATAGATGACACTGAAAGTAATGTTTTGTAATTTGTATTGAAAGAGCTTATTTGAATGAATATTACAAACATTTGATGCAATAATTGTCAATTTCTTAAATCTTAATTTGTTTTTACTCGTGCTTTGAGAGTCTGTCCAGCATTTCTAGGGTTGTTTAAAAGTGTTAGCTGTTGTAAAGAGGGTAGAATATAAGATAAATATTGTAGAAGAAAATGCACGTAATTCCATTAATTCTTCATGAATCACTTGTAAAAGTAAAAAGCACCTCTTTACATCGTTCTGATAATAACAAAACATTTTAAAAACAACTTCTAAAGTTTCAATAAATAAAAAAAAAATCTCAGAAAGTCAACTCTTGATACAGATATTGTGATGTAGACTAAACATTTGTTATTTAGATCAGTGTTGTTTTAGGTATTTGTTGTTGATGTAAAAAGACCTATTTCTCAGCGAAGGCAAATTGTGTTCTTCTGCTAGTAAATCAATAACTGAAATTTGTTTACAATATTTACATAATCTTTTCAGCCCAATGTCTTAATAGAGAATCATGTTGTCACTTGATTATTGTTTTGAAATATTTATTGTATAATGTAGCATCCTATCATTCTATATTATCAGTATATTCCTTTCAATCATGGCATGCACACCCAGTATTGTTTGATTATTGCAGTGTTATTTTTTAGACCCAAGTATCTGTTTTGTAGACTAAAAGATAAAAATTTTACTGTTGTGTAGTAAATTCATGGTATGAGTGGTTCCTATCAGAATAAATACCTTCAGTAATAATGATGTGTAGCAAATAAACAGATTGTCTGTTCTTTTATAAATACACCCCAATAACTGTATTCCCTTTACCTAATACATGTAAAATTGTTTGGGATAATAGGATAAATCTTCTGGTGGCTTGAATGCAGTTTAATCTCAACTACATTTTCCTTTAGTGAATAAAATTATCCTGATAATTGAATTGAAAATAAAACTTTCTAAAGAGCCATTTGTTTGGGAAAATATTAACTAGTATATTATAAAGTGCTGTTTTTTTTTCAGGTTTTCACTCTACTCCCCTCTCCCTATTGTTCTTTTTATTAGCTATGCCCTAAATAGGTTTGGTTTCTTTCCTCAAAGGAGAAGTAATGTAAACAAAATTCCTAGTTAATTGAATTATGAAGAGTAACCAAACTGTACAAGATCAAATCAGAATTACTACTAAAGTTTAATTTTACCCCCATGAATGGATATGAATTCAGATTAATAGTAATGTGTTGCCAGTCTTCCAAGGTGTAAGTAGCTATAGTTTAAATAGATTATTTTAACCCTTATAAATACATGTGCATCAGAAGATTAAGTAACATTTGTAGAAACCTTTTTAAGAGCCAGATCGATTATACACAAAAAAATTTAATTCAAAGTTATCTACATTCAAGAAATTGTTTTTTTGGACTTTACTTTAAAGTGTCTGGGTTTAAAGTTTGCCCTAATTTGTTACATTATTGCATGTTTCAACTGTGTAAAAGCAAACCTTATATTATATTTATATGTGAGCATGCCTTCAGAGCATATAAGTAAATAGCCTATGGATCTTGAGTATTTCCAACACAACTTCTATTAGTTTGTCTTCTTTCATTCTTACCATCCCAGTTCCATCAAGAAATGTTACTTCTGTATCATCCAAGTTTTAAAGAAACACCTGTACAGGTAGAATCTCTTGTTCTTTTCTAGTGTCAGTGTGTTATTATATGCACCTGATAGTTATTTAGGTATTTTGTAACTTTTGTTTCTTGCCATGTGGTTCTTAATCCTCAGTAATTGATAACAGACTACACTTTATTTTGTCCTTACCACTTCTGTTATGTGCTATAAAACAATATTGGGAATAGGTTGAGTTTAAGGCTATTGCATCATCCCAAATGTTAGAAACTACTTACAGGTGAATGCTCTGAAGAAAAATCTTAGAATTATTGAAAGTACAGAAATCAGCTGTACAAAAACAATTATTGTATCGATCAAATTTTTTTTTATGCTGATTGATCATCAAATTTTCTGGTCTAGTCTGGTATTTCTACAAATCTAGTAGTTTGTACATAGACTTTAATATATTTCATACACTTTTCCTTTTAATTTTTCAATTATGTTTTAATATTAAGAGTACTTGATCCTGATAAGTTTACAATTTATTATTTCTCTACATGTGTACCATGTGACATTTACTCATTGATGACTGACTATTTATATAAAATGTTGGAAAGGATTTTTTTGTACTTGATTATTCTACTAAGTTTGGGTTATATTTTTGTCACTCTTGCAAGACAATTTGTAAATATGTTTACACAATATCTGCATCTTAATTATATACTTAGCACAAGTCCAAGGATATGTAGTTTTATTGTTTTAAAGAGCTGAACTTTAAAGTCTTTATTGTACAAAGCACCACTATTGATAAAAATAAAGATGATGATAAGACTTAGTCTTGTACCTCTATCCTTGTTTATATGAACTCTGTACTGCAGCTGTTATTAAAAGTTTGTCTATACAGGAATATTCACAAATGATAGTACCACTCTTCTTCCAATCTCCCTCAAAGTACAGAAATAATTTTCTGATATTGTTTTGCAACATTCTAATTAGACTAAGTGTTAAGTTATACAGTGATACTATACATTGCTTATTCAATGTTTCAAATTCAAATTAGTGATTAAAATAAATCATATTACCTGACTTATAGAAAATTATGCAAATGAATAGCTAATTTCATAAGAGAATTCATACTTAAAAGAAGGAACACATATCTAGGTTTCATTTAACAAACTGATTAATCAGTCAGACATTTCTTACCACTAAAATATAATACAATCTGCAAACATCAGTTATCCAAATGCATCTATTAAACAACAATGATCACTTTCTAATGCCTTTCCGAGTAAAAATATATCTACAGCAGTGTTTAAAATTCCTTACCAACAGAAACACGTGATTAGCTACATAAGAAGATAAAAATTATAATTATTTTTTACTAATATTAATACAGTATCATACAAAAAAATTCGGAGATATAGTTAAATAAAAGGCAGTGATTAGTTGACAAAGGTTTTGAATGCACAGTCTATTGAGGGTTGATAATGTATTTCCATTAGGTCCTAAAGAAAATTCATTTGTTTTCCTTCTGTATGGCCACTAACATGTTCATTCAAAAGCTTTTCAACTACTGGTGGATTTTAACAAAATAAATAGAAATCATATGAAACAAACATGTTAGTGTACTAGCAACAAGTCAAATTGAATCTTGTGTTTCTTATACTACATTACAAAAAATATCTTAAGATAATGTCCACCCCTTCATGTTTCTTTCTCGCTCTTTTTCTATTGTCATTTATATTTCATTTCAAACCATATTTAGCTTAATTACCTTCCTAATAACTCCTACCTTTATCACTTTTGAAATAACTTCACTTTAATACTTTCCTAAAAAACAAATAGTTTTATCAGTTTTAACTTTCGACATGACAGAACAGTAGCTTTTATACACAAAGTTATTAGTTTTGAATATGAAAATCAGTTACTACAACTATTCATAAGTAGTATGTTAATAACCAATCCCTAGGATTGTACATACATCTACATTTAAAGAGCTTTGTTCATAAGGAAAAAATCTGTAATAATTGATGACGTTTTTATCCATAGTACACACAAACCTTGAAAAATGCTTGAAATCCAGTTTTGCAACAAAAACGTGCTTGAATTTTATTATTTTGGCTTGAAAATAGATTTTCTTTAATAACTTGTCAGTCATTTATGATCTATAAAACCTCCATATTCGTTTACAGCACTGTTTTAACCAAAATTTGCAACTTTGCACCCATTTCCATGTTGTACTCTTCTTATGTTGGTGGCTTATTAGTGTTATACATTGTAAGTAATCATTCAGTATGAGTATAAGCATATCACATAGTTAGACAATTGATATATTGGACTTAAGAGCTGTCAAAAAAATTTTGTTTTCAACAACTGTTGAGAGTAGACTTATGACAATGGATAAATGTGTCATTCAGCCCACATTCCTAGCAAGGCCTGAATATAACAAGCGGCTACAAGCATTTAAATCTGACGTACAAAAGTCACATGCATTGCAATCAAGGTATTTTATATGTGCATGATGGGCAAAAGTAACTTACAAATCACATACGAAAGTTGAAAAACAGGATACCTGCATATTTTAAGAAACCTACAAAGCATAGCCTGCAGAAAGCCAACAATGAAGAAAGAACAGGCCCACCTCCCATGCATTTTTCTTCTTCTACTACTAGCATAGGTGATGGAAGTGTAGCTTGTGAGCAAATATGATGTATTGAAGGCAGAAATGTTATGGACTTTTGAAAACTACCTTCAGTGATCAAACAGAACAGTTATTTCTATAGATGTTTCCTGATAGTCAAATTCCTGTTAAGTTTACCTTATCTTCAAGAAAAGCAAGTTATATGTGTTTGTTTAGTCTTACTGAATACTTTATATCAGAATTTAACATGAAAATCAATGAACAATTTGTCCTGGTGTTTGATGAAAGTTTAAATAAAGTAGATGGACTTTCTTATCAGATTCTGGAGCAGTGATGATAATTACCACTCATTACTTTGACCTGTAGTTCCTGGGTAAGTTAGACATTGGATAACTAATTTGGATAGCATGGCAAACACTGTTATTTAATCTAAAGTCAATTATATCTTAATAGTATAGAAAATAGGATTAGTAAGCAATTTCTATTGAATGTATCAAATTTAATGTAATTTTTACAAATACAATTGTAATGGATATAGATTTTCATTAAGATGGCTAAATGAAAATGTGACATGACATATTTTCCACTGTATCTGTAACAATGAATTTTTTTTTTTTTTGTGAGATATAATCTGCGACCATTTAGTAATGTTAAAACTGTGCAACAACAATAGCACGTGTGTGTGTATATATAACGTGCACATTTTTACAAAGTAATGAACTCATTTGTATATCTGCAAGCTTTAATAACTCAGTCTTATTGTTAGCAGGTATTGCAACAGCTGAGGATATGGTAGATTCTTTATCTAAATATTAGCCCAAGTCAATGCTCCAGATATGGTGCAGCTTAGCATGCAGATTGCTAATGTTTATTGGAAGTTCCATAACACATTCAAAATCCAGCTGAAATACAATTATGGAAACCACCTTATAAACATAGGCTTTTGAGGATTACATGTTGTTTATAACAATTTTAAGGCTGGATCCTCAGAAACTGAGTGGCAGTTGTTATCAATGCTGTCATCTTTATACTGTCTGTTCAAGGATTCTCCTGTTCAATGCATTTGTCAAAGTTGCAGGAAGGAATAAGATGCTCTTCAATTTTGTCAATCATTAATGGCTACAAAATGTCCCTGGAAAATGTTGAGAACTTTGTCAAAGCCACGAAGTTCATGGATGTATGAAAGCCCCCAAAAAAGTCTTACAAGGTTGCGTGTTTCAGACTGTGGAGGATAAATGTATCAAGCCTAAGGTGTTTCCTTTCAAATGAATTGTTGGGCAGATTCAACCATCTATGGCCCTATATCAGACAGCCTAGCCAATGGTTCCCTTTCTATGTGATGACCTCATTAGAGTGATAAAGCAGTTGATGAGAAGATTCATTAAGATAGACATTCTTTCCAATTCAAACACTTCTGAAAAGTTTGCTCTTACTGATGCCTCTGACAACAAAAACACACAAACCTACAACCAAATTGGCATTAGCTTACCTGCCAAAAGATGTAAATGCCAAATGTGATAGGAAACCATACAATTTAAAATAGAGTGCAAGTATTTCTTGGTAAAACTCTCAGTGCAAAGTGTTATAATACTCCTTGGCAAGGTGCCTGTTGACTTTCAACCAACTAACATCGTTTCAGTTACTGACAGCTGCAGAAAGAATTTGAAGAAAGTCCTAACAACACCTTTTAATTGCAGTAGAGTGAAAAGACTGTGATGCCATACTACAGCAGTTCTCCAGTTTCATAAAAAATATCCCAGTTATTAGGTTTAAAGAGTTTAAGTATCCTAGTAGAAACTGAGGAATTTGAGAAAAAGCACAGGAGGATAGATACTGACATTAAATCACTATAAAAATCCACAGCAAGTTAGCTAAAGAGGGCAAAAGAAAGGATAATTTAGTCTCCTTACTAAATCTAACTTTTTTTTCAAGAGAATAGTCAAAGATAAGTCCACTGAGGTGGACATTACTTAAAGCATAGTTAGATACTAAGTTGCTTGTCTGAGTTTATGAACAATTGATAGTTATTTAAGTCATTAAAACTGTCAAAACTAAAACTGTTTTTAGTTTTAATCTAGAATTGATATTATTAAAAATGTACACTATATAAAACTGTATGAAGCACTTGTATAGTTAACAGTAACAGGTTACCTCAAATTGTCAACTTAATCTTGTTACTGAGCATCATACATTGCAATGGTCTACTGAATACATCCTTTTATCATTTTACACAAGCTTTTATAAACTGAGCTTATAATTCTACAAACGATATGTGCTTAAAAATAAAGTATTTTGTCATTTCTGTATTCAACATTTGGTCTGTGTTTTTGCTTTCAATAAAAACCAATATAACAAAAAATTTTCCGGGTTATTAACTTTTTGCTTTACAAAAGATGACAAATTCTGGGAATGAGCATATTTTTTTAATGTTGTTATATCTCTTTATACACTGCCAAGAAACACTTCCTTTTCTTACCAATATTTTAGGGCCCAATTTTTATGTTACAGCATCTTTCAAAAGGCCAATGTGTCCTTCAAAAGCTTTCTCATGGTGTTACTTACTGAAGCATTTCCTGGATCACATGTCTGGTAACTAATCTAAATGATGATAAAGAAAAAATTAGGCTAGGTTCCTTAACATATAAACAATATGTATGTAACTGCTATATTTACATGATCTAATACATCAAGTTTTGGATAACCATTTTCTATATTCATTCATACAAATATGCATATTAATCTAACAATGTGACTTGGTTTAGTTAGATCATTTTGCATTCAACCATATAAAGTTTAATTTTGCTGACAAGACCACTGGTTGTTAAGCCATGTTTATATTAGGCCTTACTGGCCTAAGTAACTGTTTAAACGGGCAACAAAAATCACCAAAGATATGTAAAAATAAAAAATATATATATATATTCAAAAATTCAAAAACTTTGGCTTCCTTATGATTTTCATATGGTAAAATCTTATATTGTATGCTAATGTGTAAACACAGTGAAACTGCATGTGGTGTTTATGAATCAAAACAAAGATAAAATTTAGTTTTATAAAATAAAAACTTTATAGGAATGCCTTACAATAAGGTAGAAAGACAAAAATCAGTAACTGAAATCTACAACAAAGGTAAATGTTTTTAATTGTTTCATTAAAAATATAATCACAATGAAAACTTTTCAAATATTCATATTCATATAAATGTCACATATAAAATAAGAATATTTTATTTGCATTAGCTTCATAATCTGAAGAAGGTTCGCTTCAAGTTTCAAACTTTTTTTTTTCCATGCAATAAAACAAACCACACAACAAATGGCTTTGGTACAGTACGGTGATTACCCCATAAGTCTAACCAGGTGAATATAACATTGATTCAATGATCATCGTGATTGAATAAAGCTGCTATGATTTATGTAAAATTGTGTCCTCAAGGAATGGAACAATTCTTCAGCATACCTTTCAGGAATTTGAAGATTCCCTACTCTAAAAACAAAAGGCAATTTTAACAGCCAAATGTGGAACTACACATTATTAAGCTGTTTCCATTGGGAGCTTGTATTTTTTGTCCAATATTTGCATATTGTGTTATAGCAATTGTACAGATTAACTTTTGCTAAGTGTTTGAAGTTATGAAGGTGCTTTACATATACTAAAATGTATGTATAAGCTTGTAATCCCCCCCCTCCTAAAAAGTAGGATGGACTTGATTTGAAAGTCGATTATTTTTTTCTGATCTTTCCTGGCAACACTGTTCTCATCTGAACAAGGATTGCAGGAAAAAAATGTTGGAATAACTGATGATCATGATCTTAAGGATTTGGTCCAATGTTAGGCATGCATAACTCATTTCAACTGTTCAAGTTACATGATGCTTGTGCCACATCAGTCAATTTCATTTAATGATTAGCCAATAAGCATCCTAAACTATTAAATGGTAACATAAATAAATCTATTACAACAAACACTGTTCTAAATCTAACAAAATATCTGATCAGTACATTGACAAAATGTCTTAACTTTGCACCAATCTCCAAAGCAATTCCATAAAAGTATTATTGCTCCAATTAAAAATGTTTCATCCTGAAATCAAGCTGAATGACTACTCATGAACTAAGACTGAAGTAAAGAATCCTTTAGTTTAAAAACATCATCACAATAGAGAAGAGTGACAAGACAATTTAAGAACTTTCAAAATGACCAGTCAATTATTGCACCACCAGCAGACAAAGGCTATCATGAAGAAAGGAAACTAAACAATAAAAATTAATCTCCTCAAATATATTTTACTTGAAAAAGTATTTGTATCTAAGAATCTCACTAATAAAATTGAAGAAAAAAGTAAATGAGTAGTTTAGAAAAATGAAATTTTCCATGATACTCTCTGCTAAGAAGTTCAACAAACTGTGCAGCTACCACTCCACTGCTCCAAACATTTATGGATGGACTACTAAAAATCAATAACTCTGATGTACCTCTACAGCATATTTCCTTCACAAACTCTCCAACATGCTTTATTGTTACACATCTTGCTAATATTATTTTATATCTAAATAAACTAAAATTGTACTATGTAACATATTACAAAGATTTTGTTGAAAATAATTAAGGATGCAGTAACTGCTCATAAGGGTATGTTTGTGAATACTGATATCTTCTTTCACTTTACTAGAGTAACTATAGGTAAAACTATTAGTATCATCTTAAATAGGCAAGAAGACAACAGCCTTGCCAACAAAACCAATCTCTCTCTTCTCTGTTGAACAACTTCCACAACTACTTCTGACATCCACTTATTTTAAATGAGATAGTGAAATTTTTGCATTAATAAAAGACTGGCAAAGGGATCACTTCTATCCCCAAAAATGTACCAACTTTAAATGAAATCATTCTATAAAAAGAAATTATAAAATCCGACATTTGGTCAAAATATGTTGGTACATTTCTCGTATGGCTACATGAGAACAAACTTACCTAACCTTAATAACCAGATCTGCATTCAATATATAGAGGGAAACCAAGAGTAATGGCAAACTTCAATTTCTGGATGTGTTAATTGTTAGAAATGGATTCAGAATATCCACTACAGTATACCATAAACCAAATCATATTAACTCTTTGTTTGCAGCTTCTGTAAGTCTGCCTACCACCCCATGCACAAAGATTTGTGAATGTTTGTAGCGGGCCATTCAAAAATTTGTGCACAGACACTTATGCTAACATCATATGATGTCAACCGTAATTGAAGGGTTAATAGATATCTGGATTATAATTCATCTAATGCAAACTCCATCAAGAAAAAATTGAAGTGTCTACTTAATTGAACAACACAGTTTTATGATACGGGTCATCTTAGAGCAAAAATTGGCCCATTTAGAGACATCTTAAAAAGTAAAAATCATCCTCTAAGTTAGTAGAAGATAATACAACAAAACATTTTTCATCATAACTATAAAACAGAGAAGAAACTCATAAAAAAAAATTACAAACCTTCTTAGTGGAAGTTTTATGCTAAGTATCTTAAACATTTTATATAAATTTTACTTTAAAAATGATCAAGGTAAATAAACTACATTCCACATTAACTAAAGTGAAAGTCAGTTATCCTAACCACAAACACACACACACAAGAAGGGTGTTATACATAAAGTTACATGTGTAAGAAAGAAATAAAGAATATATATATACAAGAAATGAAATGACCTATTCGTATAATATTAGGTCGTCAAGAAATGAAATGACCTATTCGTATAATATTAGGTCGTCAAGAAATTAATGTCCCTTTTTTTAGTTAAAAATCCCAAACAACATGTATATCAAAACAGAGCATTTATTAAATGAAATAGTCTCCATTCTTATCGATGATGCTTTTCCATCTTACAATCAGGTTATTAATGCCCTGATTAAAGAAATAGCTTTGAAGCAAAAAATATGTCAATGTCCTCTTTAACATCTTCCACATTTACATACGTTTTTCCATTAAAATGGTGTTCAAGCGAACGAAAAAGATGGTAATCTGATGGTGCCATATCTGGAGAATATGGTGGGTGGGGAAAACTTCCAACCCAACTCCGTAATCTTGTGTTGCGTTAAACGTGCCACATGTGGACGTGCATTGTCGTGGAAAAGAGAACACCTATCCAACTGACGATTGAAGGACGTTTCTGATGAAAGGCTTGATTTAAACGTTCCCATTGCTGACTATAGATCTCTGCATTGACAGTTCGCTGTGGATTGAAGAGTTCAAAATGAATTACTCCTTTGAGGTCCCACCAAATGCAAAGCATCACTTTCTGCGGATGGAGTCCAGGTTTTGGGGTCGGATGTGGTTTTTCTCTAGGACTGAGCCATTGTTTTTGGCATTTAATATTCACATAGAAAATCCATTTTTCAATACCAGTGACAATTCTGTCCAAAAATGGTTCACGAGCATTACGCACCAGAAGAGACGAAGCAACGTTCACACGTTGGAAACAATGATCATTAGAGAGTTTGTGAGGCACCCAAACACCTTCTTTATAGAGTTTTCCCATATTCCTTAGATGTTTATGTATTGTTTCACGAGAGACATGCAATTTCAGGCCCATTTCACAAGTGTGTGTGTTGCCTTGGGTTAGACTCTACAAGCGTCTTCAGAGCATCAATATCAATTTCAACATGTCAGCCCCTGCCATCACAGTTTTTAAGACTAAAGTCACCTGAACGAAATTTGCAGAACCATCATTGACACTTCTTTGTGGCTACAGAAGCATTGTTTTCCTTCTTGTATTCAAACAGCATTACATGCCAAATGTGTGTCTCATCATGTGCCATCCCTATAAGGGATTATAGTATACTAAACTTTACACATTATATAGGCTACACTAACATGATGTTTAGGCAGTTTAATGTGACATTAATTTCTTGACGACCTAATATATAAGGGAGCATTTATGACCAGCATCCATGTGTGATAATTGGTAATACAGAACATCAACTTGAATGTAACAAGTTATTCTATACTAAATGATATAGAAAGTGTAAAAAATAAAAAAATAAAACCACTTTTGACACTGAAATATAAAAGAAACAAATAGTGTATCAGGATATGAAGTGAACAGAGAAAATGAATGCTACAGAACGATTAGAGGTAAAAACTTAACTCAAACTAATAACACACCTTGAATAGATAGGGTTGAACATCTGGGTAGCTTGTATCAAAGATCAAGTCCAGCTCTGATTGATTAGGCATCTTTGGAATGTAGTCATGCTTGTTCATGGCAGCTGCTATAGCCATCACTTTCTCTGCTAACATTTCTCCAACTTTCTCCCGATAAATCTGCCGTTCTGTTAAGATTCAGGTTATACCGATAAGTTAGTTAGAATATGTTAACTCTTTTCTCTGTGGAAGTTCAGTTAGCAATGACTAGAAGAATCTCATTAATTTATCAACCTGTGAAAATTCATTAAACAATGATAAGTTGGACAGAACCTAGTAGATACAATATTCTGTTAAAAGGTTTGACTTTTATTTTCTCCTTTCAACCCATTAGATGTATCAACTACTTATGGATTATGAAGAAAGAAATCTGATCATGAGTTCTTAAATTTCTAATATCACATTCCATGGTAGAAATATCACTTAATAAATTGCCAAATGAAGCATGTATCAATATAAAAACTGTTTTCTGCATTTTTAGAACTTACAGCAAAAGCATCTGGAGAAAATTTTTTTTATTCATCAACAGAAAAATATTAGAAATTAAGATGACAGAAAGCCACCTGACCTATTATAGTTACTCTCCCACTAACCAGAGTATCAAATTTTATTTCCATTGAACTAATAATTTTAATTTACATACATTTTATAAATATAGTAACTATATCTAATTTTATAACATCTTGAGACTTTGGTTTGAACATTCAGTTATTTTACTTTTCAACATATGTTGAAAATCAGTTTTGCTTTATTTTTGAATATTTACTAACATAGTTTTGTGAATAAGTGTCTACTATTTAAAAAAGTTGTGTAACAGAGGATCAGACATCATGAAAAACTATGTATTTTTAAACTGACTGACTGACTACACATGCAGTGGAAAAAAAAGAAAAACATCTTACCATGTTCATTTGGTAAAGTGATGATGGTCACTTTCACTGTCCATACTTCCCATGGTATACTTTCTGGTGGGAATGGCCATCTTGCCTTTTTTTTCTGATAGAATTCAAGTGATATCTTCAAAAAGGGGAAAAAAACGGACTTAAAAAAATCTTAATATTAATTATAAAAGATATTAGTTAAACTTATTCAGTAGAGAATATGAAACTTGTTATCATTAGCAAAATCATTGAAGCGTTTAATAAAGTAGTTCATATTGCTAACAGTGAGACTAACCAACTGATGAAACAATGTACTCTAATCACTAAAAGTAAGACAGTACCAGTAGCAGAAGATTTGAAAGAGGGGGTCCAAAGAATCCAAATCCCTCCTTATACACTGCAAAAAATAAAATTGAAGAAAACAGTAGAACAATAAATAGAGATAAAGAGAAAAATGGGGATGCAAGTGGTAGAAATAGTATATTTAATTGTTTCCTAGGATCAGTTATGCTCATATTCCTGTATGGAAAGGGGTTCTGGACCATCTGTAATTTGTAAAATGTTGAAGGTAGCCATAAAGGATGTTTTTTTCCCTATAAATATTATGATCAATTTAGAACCAGCCACAGGTCTTTGGTATGACTATCAAACATTCCATCTCTCTCTCTATCCCATCAATAAGCAGCACTTGCTAAAAAGATCCTGATTCTAACAGTCAGCTCCACAAATGAAGGAAAAGATGTTCTAGATAGTAGCAAAAAGTATTGGCCACTTAGATTTCTTACTGATAATTTGAAGATGGGAATGATCAGCAATAATCAAAGGAAAGTGTTAGGAATTGGACTTGGAGGGATTTAAAATTTAACAAAATCTTCAGCTTTTCAGGTGATAGCAAGCCCTCTCTCAGAGTCTCTGATATTCATTCATTTGGATCTCCCCTTTCGAAAATCCTAAATCTGCTCCTGTAGTATATTAAATTAGTTATACTCATTACTGGATTAATTTGTATTCCTTATTTACATATGTAGCTTGCTTTTGAATAGAAATTAATACTAAATTTTCAAATTTCTAACCTGTTTTTAGAAAGTAATGTTTCAGAATCACAACAAAAGTTAATACCTTAGTTTAAACCTTAACAATATGAAAAAAAAAGGAATATGCAGTACTCAAACAGTAACACAAGAATCATAATCAAAACCAAATTCAAACTCAAGATACTAGTAAAGTTGTTTTGTAGAAGGATGGGAAATCTATAATACTGATATATAGAGAAGGAATCTAATTTTTCATGAAACCAGTAGTGGTAAAGTTACATGCAAGTGTTCTGAAAATATGGAGTGTTATGTTTGATTAATAGTATACTTGGAAATAATGTATCATAAGTACAGTGTTTAGTCTGTAGAAGCTCATAATTTATAGGTAAACAATTATTCCTTCAAAAAATTAATCTATTGAGAAAAAAAAATTAGTTGGATTACAAATTTTGTTCTTTTTACTACTCATAAACTTTGGAAGCACTTGCATGCCTGTTATTTTTTATATGTAGAAATAAAAAATACTTTTTTTACTTGATAAATATATTTAGTACCAAAACCTTATAATATTAGTTGTTTATCTTAATACAGAAACATACACAAGAATAGAAAACAGTTTACCTGACCAGTTCGAGAACCTTCAGTGCTACGAAGGGAATCAGAAAATGCTCCAATTTCTCTCATTATTGCTTTGTCTAGTTCCTCTGATGCACAACGAACCTTATGTTATATATAAACAATAATCCCTGTATACATAAAATTATCAATTTTGTCATACATATGAAAAAAATTCAAGCTAAAGCAATTTATATTTGAATGAGAAATATAAACTTTAAAAGTTTCATTACCAGTTATTTCTTTATACTTACATAAGTTAAGTCCACAAAGTCACACTGAACATCCTCAAAGCCAACTGTCCCAACAGAATAACTACCTTCTTGCTTGTAATGAAACTGTTATGAATACACAAGTTACATTACTCCATTAATGAAATATTTATGCATGGGTACATACTTGTTCTAAATTATCTTTGCATAATGAAACATATATATGAATTTATCATACTTCACATTACTCATCAACTCTATAAGATGTTATCTTGTAAACAAAAAATTCAATTTCATGTTTTATTTTTCAAATATAATTAAAAAATATATTAATATTTAATTAATGTTACCTTACCAACATCATATAAAGTAGTTTCTGATTTTGCAACTACAAAACAGACTGATATTTTGAAAAAAGAAATTTCAAGAGAAAAAATCAACAAACATTAATTTAAAGTTGCATTCACTTAAGGTTTGAGACCTTGCATATTACTAATATAATCTTAATATTGAGTGTACATCAGCAGAATTTTATTTATATATATTTTCTGCACCATAAAGCATTTTTTGTAATGCACAGTAAATATACATGGTTACACACTACTGACATGAGTTACAATAGTGAATATAATAATTATCTCTTCTTTTACATAGTATTTCAGAAAAAATATAAGAATTAATATACAATGAATAAAAACACTAAGTAATCAGTCTTATTAGGTTTTACTTGCTAGTGAACACATACTCACCAAAGGAAACCTTATTTGAGAAAAATACTAAAATTAAAATAAACAACAAATAAATGCAAGTACTATAAGGTAAAATATAAAACAATTGTTTAAAGTCAAAAAAGTTATCTGTCAACTTTTTGGCCAAACAAACTTCACTGGACCTCATTTGGGAAAATATTAACCACAATTATTTTTCCCTTAGGAAAACTTTAATAATTTTTTTATATCTAATGTATGCAGATAAAGGAAGAAAAAAATTTGATTAGTGTACATAGACAGAAGGAAAGATTAATAAAATTATGTAGATGTATATGCATAAACAATCTTATTCTTCAACAACTTAAAGGCAAAAAGAGTTTTAAGTATGCTATTGCATGTGTTCAGTTAAAACAGAATTATTTATTTTGTAAATCAAAAAAGTTGGTTCTTTAAGATAAAAAAACTAGAGATTTTGCCATTTTAAACTAATTGTATTACTACTGACTCTTGGAGTAAATATTAAGGAATATAAATTTAGAATTAGATCAATTAACAGTTAAACTTAAAGCACAATTGTCAATAATTTCAGTTTGGATTGCTGATGCTGAGAGTTTAATAAAAATTATGTGCCAAAATTTTCAAAAACGTAATTGATATATAGTATTACACTCACAGTAAGTTTTAAAATCTCACCTTGCCTAATGACCTATGGAACAATAGTGTATGAAACAAACTCAAGACCACCTCTTGGACCTGACGATCTTCCACTTCCTACAGATGAGTTTATTATTATAGTTATAAGTACATTATAAAATAAGAGTATCAGTCTGAAGTTGTAACTGCACTAAAGAAAACTTGAAATAAATAAGCTTAAAAAATACATAATAAAACAATGCATGAATTAAACATACAGTCTGTAGATTGTTCATTTTATCATTATGTTAATATTATAAAATGCTGAGAATGAGACTAGCTAACTCAGTAATGGTATGTACCAGAAAAACCAAATAAAATATAATTTTCTAATTTCAAATTTTATTGTGTTCCGTCCACTAGTGGAAGTTGTACTTTACTACTAGTACTAATAATGAACTAAGGCACATTAAAATTTTTCGAACTGGAACAAAAAAAAATAAAAATATTTATAAAAGTATACATACACACTGTGATTTGTAAATACTTACCAACTCAAACACTTGAGTTCGTGCATTCATTACGACGTCACAGAATTACTTTTCATTCAAATATTCTAAATTTTGAAGTTTAAGTGTAGTAATATTATAAGTAATAACTACAACTGAGTCAGTACAATTAGTTATATTCGTCAGGGTAAATTACATACACATCTAACCATTAACGAAAACAATACGCTGTGCATATGTCAAATCACGAAGGGCAGCAATAGTCCCTCTATACGAGAAGCATTATTATTATATTTGGTTAATAAAACGTAATTCAATTATTTTCAAAAAATGTTTACTTATATAGTTGCGTTATTTGTTTTGTAGCCATGTAGACTCCCGGCTAAATGATTTGCCACATATGGCATCACTGTACAAAGTAAAGAAAACAAAGTATAAAATTTTATTGGATAGTCAACATGGTTTCACTAAGCGAAAATCTCGTCTTACAGATCTTTTTACATTCTTCAAAAATGTTACTGTTTCTGTTGATGAGGGTAAGGATGTAGATTTGGTGTATCTGGGTTTTCAAAAAGTATTTGACAAGGTGCCACATAAAAGGATTGTAAAAAAATTATCTCTATATTTGTGGAGGATAAGTTAGCTAATTAGATAGAAGAATGTCTGGATGGAAGAAATCAGAGGACTGTTATATATGGGATTCAGTGAAATTGGATTAATGTCACAAGTGGAATACTTCAGGCCTCAGTTTTATGACCTTTACTCTTTTTGATTTACATCAATGACATAGATGAAGGAATGGTCAACAAATAACTTAAATTTGCTGATTGGTGTTTCTGGATGTGAGCGGGGTGCTGCTGTTTTGCAAAAATATTTAGATCATTTAGTGGGTTGGCCCGGGCGAATAAATGGCAGATGGGTTTTAATTATAATAAGTGCAAGATAATGCTTGTGGATTATGATCATTTAAATTATAAGTACAAGTTGAATGTGTGTGTGTGTGTGTGTGTGTGTTTTCTCATAGCAAAACCACTTTGGGCTATCTGCTGTATCAAGAGGAATCGAACCATGATTTTAGCGTTATAAATCCGCCGAGTTACCGCTGTCCTGTCAGGGGACGATTTGGATGAAAACAACCCTAACAGTGCTGTGAAAGAAAGGGATCTTGGTGTAATGGTTGATCGGTTTCTTAAGCCATCCAAACAATGTGCTATTGCTAGTGGTAGAGCAAACAGGATTTTGGGTTATATTTACAGAAATATTGGATACAAATCTAAAGAGGTTATAATTCAATAATATAGGTGACTGGTTAGGCCACATTTGGATTATTGTGTTCAGTCTTGGAGTCCTTACCTCAGGAAGGACATTGAATTATTGGAAAGAGTTCAGAGAAGGATTACAAGAATGGTGCCTGGGATAGAAGAGTTGTCATACGAGGAGAGGTTAAGATCTCTGAAATTGTTTTCTCTTGAAAAAAGAACAGCTAGCGGGGATGTGATTGAGGTTTTTTAAGAAATTTTAGGGATTTGATAGTGTTGATGCATTTCTTTTTCATATTCAATGGTGAGAATGGTAGGACTAGGAGACACAAATATAAATTTTGGCAGGGTAGGAATCATCTTCGGCTAAGAAAGTTTTATTTTTGCAACAGGGTAATTGGCCTTTGGAACGAGCTGCCTTCGGATGTTGTGGAGGCAGTAAATTTAAGTTAGTTTAAGAGAAAGTCTATATGAATGATCAGGGATGGGTTTGAATTTGTTAGATTATTAATAGTTTTAGTTTAGTTTAGAGGATAAGACAATCTAGATGGACCAATAGGTCCCTTGTTGTTCTTAAACATTATGTTATTTTCATTAAACATAATAGAGGCTGCATTCTCGAGATATCATCTGGTCTACCATTGAAGAACACTGGCTGTTGACATTTTTGTATAATATGCAGCATTACAGCCACCCACTCATGGGAAGAACAGGTAGCATCATCATAGAATTACAAAGAATCTAAGGCAGCTAGAAGGAAATTAATTTGACAACTTATTTTAACATGTACATAGGCTTAGAATAAATGAAACATTATGAGATATTCAACATTAAAATAAGAAGGTAGAAAATAAATGGTATGCCTGCATAGCATACTTTCCCTTCCCTCTCTGTTTCAAGCTTGTGTTAAATCTGACAATTAAATGTAACTTTACACTCTTATCCTGGTCAAGAAGTGCCTTAATTTTCTCTCATTTCTGGAAACACTTACACGTAACATAGAGACACAACCCCTAAATGAAGATCTACAACTCAAAAATCAAAACACTATAATGGAAAGTAAAATGCATACTAAACTATATGCAGAAACATTTTCAATCGTAGAAATAGATACTACGAACCATTAACAAAAATGCAAGCGCACACACACACACAACAATAGACCCATTAACAAAAACATATAAAATTCAATAGTATTCATACATTATGCAAATTCTCGTTAATATAGATGGCTTCTAATTAGTCATTACAGTACCCTTTAACAATGATAAATTCAACACTTGTTATATTGCAAAAAAAATCCCTTTCACAAAGAAGCCTTCAATCAAATAAACCTCTTAACGTTACATACAAAGTATGTACAGTTCGTTTAATGAAACAAACTAATTAAACACTTCAAATAAACTTAATTGAACTACATCAATGATAATTGGCAAAAATATTTTAAAGAAAACTACAAAATGTTTCTTAAAGAAACATACAAACATATTTACTAAACTAACACATCAAAGACAAAATCAAAAACTGAATCTCATTACAAATCATACTGAAACATACATAAGTTGATCAGATACAAAAGCAAATAAAATAATAATAATAATAAATGAATATCAGAGCTAAAAACCAAAATGCAAGATTACAAATACAATTACGGAATATTTACTTAAGTTTGTTTGTTTGTTATTAAGCACAAAGCTACTCGGTTTCTAGCAGTGTAAGTCCGCAGACATACCACTGTGCTACTGGGGGCTTCACTTAAGTAAAGAACATACATATACAAAATATACACTTACCATGTGTCCGTTCGAGGCTCTGCTCCCTCTCAAATTAACCCCACCAGCAGATCCAATTGGCTGTCATGGTGGCCCACATTGTGCTTCAAGCTTTCATTTGGGTTTTCCTTATGTCCACCAGCTCGGTTCACAAGTGGACAATTTTTTCCTTTAGCCATTATGGAGGTGTATCTCTCCATCACAGCCAATTATCATTGGTCATACAGCTTACAAAGATTTTTCGTTTGGGAACTAGGCAATAAGACAGGCTAACCACTGGCTGATTGAAGGAAGAGATAGCCACAATTGTAAAAAAAATTATCTTGAATACAAAAGTACAGATTGTAAATGTAAGATTAGGTGAGTTTCAATTAGTCGAAAGTTCAGCTAGGTATGTAAATTGAAAGAAGTTGTAACTACTCAGTTACAACCATGGCCTTCTCTAGAATCTTTTAGAGGTGGAGTCATAGCTGTGTATCTTGGTCAAGCAGCATTCCTATGAGCTTCACGTGTACTCGACTGATTTTGCCCATAGAACATGTATTCTTAACACCTGTGAACTTCCTGATCCCTAAACTTCATTGGGTTTATGCTTGGCAAATAATATTAACTGTGCTAATCTTTTCATTCCTGCCAGACAACAACCTGGACTCACTCCCCTCCCTATGATCTGTTTATCACACGGAAAAATGTTGTTCAAGTAAAAATGAATGGGGTATAAACTGCAAAACTAGCTCTTACCCACATGATCTGAATTGGGTAAGATATCACCAATTATTTATTTTGACTGTTAGATTCCAATAACGTTTATATTGTCTCTCCTTAGAGGTCCTCTTTTAATAACAAGCTTAGTACTAATTTTGATTTGACTTAGACAGTGTTCACCATGCTGGTGTTATTTTCCACTTCCCATTATTACACCAACAGCCTGAAGTTTCATACATTTTGGTCTCACCCATACCAATCAGGAGGGTATTTCCATTGGCTCAACTGACTATCAGAGCTGTGATTCGCCTCTAATTTCACTATTTCATCATCTGGCTCATTGTGGACAGTCAAACAAGTACTTTCAGCTCTTTTCTCCTTGTTGGGTGAGTCATCATGGTTTGAAATGACATCCCTTCTTTCTTTTGATTACCAGTCTCCACCTCAGACTTCTAATGAAGTCACTGCACAAGTAGTTCATCAGTAATATGCAGACACAGCTTATCAATGTGCTTCATGGGCTTTCACACATCTTGCATCAACTATAACTCATACATAATGGACTAATCTGTTAGAGTACGAGGTATGGATTTTGTAACTAATTTATTATTATGTATTTATTTTTAATATGAATGTTGTTTGATTGAATTTGTATTTAGAAATATGCTTCACTTGTAGTATTAGATATGTGTTGTGTATAACGAATTTTTTATACATATTTATTTTAATCTTTGTTTCGAACAAGTTTATATTTGATGGCGTGTCTAACTTACTGTGTTAGTTACGTATGACAAAACTCCCGCCAGTTTTCCAAGATTGTAAAACATTCGTGAACACAAGAATCAACAATATATCTATTTCCGTATCTGGTTAAATATAGCGCCTATAAAAAGCGACGTGCCAAAAAACAGAGAAGAGACAAGTCTACTATGAAACTGATATAAACTGTGATTTTGCTAACCCTTATCAACCGGAAAATATACGACATTTGACCAGAAACAGTTATAATTTTCGAACGTCAGTGAATTCTTATGAAACGTTAATATCTTTCCAAGAATATTATCAATTTCTCATCGGACGTTAGTGGTTTTATGAAAATATTATCTTACTTCAATGGTCCAGCAATTCAGTGCCCGACAAAGCTAGCTAGCTTCACTCCAATTATATATACGTACAACCAACTCGCTGGACATCAAGGAGACTGTGAACTAGGAAAACGATTTTAGGCTATTTGTAAGTTTGTGAAATTTCTGTTTATGAAACTTGGTTTGTGATAATTAATCATAATAGTGGCTATTGTAAATTATACTATTGTATATATATATATATATATCAAAATGTAATTGTTTCAAAACAAAAATGATGTGAATCAATCATGTTGGCAAATAGCGTAAATTAAATAAAATATTGGCATTTCTAAACATTAAATCCAGGGTACAGTTCAACTGTTAAAAGTTAAATTATTTAACATGGCCTTGGATTATTTCGAATTCTCAATACGTAACAACTTAT